AACCACTTTGTACAGAAAAATTTATACAAGCTTTTGTCATGAGCGTCTTGTCTGTAGACCTTGAAGTTCAAGTTTGGTGAGCATATTAGAGACGCACCTATCTTCTCTGGATTTGTAGTCTCCTGTTATAAATCTCGCTGATTTTTGTTGTATCCTTTAAAGCTTGTTGATGTTTGTAGATGTGAACATGGTGAAGGGGTCCCATACTATTGCTCCATACTCCATTGCTGATCTGATCAGCGAAATATATGCCGTTTTCTTGAATTCTTGTGGGCAATATCTCAAATTCCTTCTCAAAAGCCTAAAGTATTGAGTTAGCATTTTTCACAATCTGATTAAAATTCTGATCCAAGTATCATGGGTTATGTTGGACTTGTTGTAGAATGTGTCCGTTTAAACTGTAGAATATTTGGCACTTGTTTTGTATGCTTAATAGGATGTAGAATTTCTTCTCGTTGAACCTCATTTCCCACTTTTGGTCTATACTTCTAGGTTCTTGAGATATTCTTAGAACATGTCATGGTCGCGAATAGTAGAACTTAAGATCTGACTGCGTCTAGGGGTCATTTATATGACAAAGGAAAAGAAACGCTCCTAGGACTGTGCCTTGTGGGACACATCAGTCAACTGTTATTCTTCTGGTTGTTCTCCTTCTACTACCACTTTCATTTTTTCTGTTTGTCAAGAAAATATTCAGCCAGTTGTTTATAAGTCCTCTAATTTCGTATTCGCCCATTTTTAGCTCACCTGGCCCAAAGGGCCAAGTGAGCTTTTCTCATCACTTGGCGTCCGTCGTCCGTCGTCGTCGTCGTCCGTCGTCGTTAACTTTTACAAAAATCTTCTCCTCTAAAACTACTGGGCCAAATTTGACCAAACTTGGCCACAATCATTATTGGGGTATCTAGTTTAAAAAATGTGTCCGGTGACCCCGCCAACCAACCAAGATGGCCGCCATGGCTAAAAATAGAACATAGGGTAAAATGTAGATTTTGGCTTATATCTCTGAAACCAAAGCATTTAGAGCAAATCTGACATGAAAATAATTTGTTTAACAGGTCAAGATCTATCTGCCCTGGAATTTTCAGATGAATCGGACAACCCGTTGTTGGGTTGCTGCCCTGAATTGGTAATTTTAAGGAAATTTTGCAGCTTTTGGTTATTATCTTAAATATTATTATAGATAGAGATAAACTGTAAACAGCAACAATGTTCAGCAAAGTAAGATCTACAAATAAGTCAACGTGACCAAAATGGTCAGTTGACCCCTTAAGGAGTTATTGCCCTTTATAGTCAATTTTTAACCATTTTTCGTAAATTTTTGTAATCTTTTACAAAAATCTTCTCCTCTGAAACTACTAAGACAAATTAACCAAACTTGACAACAATCATCATTAGGGTATCTAGTTTAAAAAAAATGTGTCCGATGACCCTGCCCGTGAACCAAGATGGCCGACATGGCTAAAAAACAGTACATAGGGTAAAATGCAGTTTTTGGCTCATTTCTCTGAAACCAAAGCATTTAGAGCAAATCTGACGAATGAAATTGTTCATTAGGTCAAGTTCTATCTGCCCTGAAATTTCCAGACCAATCAGGCAACACGTTGTTGGGTTGCTGCCCCTGAATTGGTAATTTTAAGAAAATTTTGCAGCTTTTGGTTATTATCTTGAATATTATTATAGATAGAGATAAACTGTAAACAGCAACAATGTTCAGCAGAGTAAGATCTACAAATAAGTCAACTTGACCAAAATGGTCAGTTGACCCCTTAAGGAGTTATTGCCCTTTATAATCAATTTTTAACCATTTTTCGTAAATTTTTGTAATCTTTTACAAAAATCTTCTCCTCTGAAACTACTAAGACAAATTAACCAAACTTGACAACAATCATCATTAGGGTATCTAGTTTTAAAAAATGTGTCCGATGACCCTGCCCGTGAACCAAGATGGCCGACATGGCTAAAAAATAGTACATAGGGTAAAATGCAGTTTTTGGCTCATATCTCTGAAACCAAAGCATTTAGAGCAAATCTGACGGGATAAAATTGTTCATAAGGTCAAGATCTATCTGCCCTGAAATTTTCAGACCAATCAGGCAACACGTTGTTGGGTTGCTGCCCCTGAATTGGTAATTTTAAGAAAATTTTGCAGCTTTTGGTTATTATCTTGAATATTATTATAGATAGAGATAAACTGTAAATAGCAATAATGTACAGCAAAGTAAGATCTACAAATAAGTCAAACATGACCAAAATGATCAATTGACCCCTTAAGGAGTTATTGCCCTTTATAGTTAATTTTTAACAATTTTCATACATTTTGTAAATTTTTGTAAATTTTTTACAAAATATTTTCCACTGTAACTACTGGGCCAAGTTCATTATAGATAGAGATGATTGTAAGCAGCAAGAATGTTCAGTAAAGTAAGATCTACAAACACATCACCATCACCAAAACACAATTTTGTCATGAATCCATCTGTGTCCTTTGTTTAATATGCACATAGACCAAGGTGAGCGACACAGGCTCTTTAGAGCCTCTAGTTTACAGTAGTTTCTTATGGGATACTGTGTCGAAAGCTTTGAAGAAATATAAGATGGCAATCAGATCAGATTGGAGACCGCCGTCATATGCTTTCCCAAAGTCGTTTAATGTGACTTGTAATTGTGTTTCGTATGAATAGCCAGATCTGAAACCATGGTTTAATGATGTTAAAACTTCATGCCATTCTAGAAGTTTCACTAAGTGTCTGCATATAATGTGTTCTAGGATTTTACATGGAACTAATGTTAATGATACAGGTCTGCAATTCTCGGCAGCATTTTCATCTCCTTTTTAGCTCACCTGGCCCAATGGGCCAAGTGAGCTTTTCTCATCACTTGGCGTCCGTCGTCCGTAGTCGTCGTTGACTTTTACAAAAATCTTCTCCTCTGAAACTACTGGGCCAAATTTAAGCAAACTTGGCCACAATCATCATTAGGGTATTTTGTTTATAAAACGAGTCCGATGACCCCGCCGGCTAACCGACATGGCCGACATGGCTAAAATAGAACATAGGGGTAAAATGCAGTTTTTGGCTTATATCTCTGAAACTAAAGCATTTAGAGCAAATCTGAATGGGATTAAAGTGTTCATCAGGTTCAGATCTATCTGTCCTTAAATTTTCAGACGAATCAGACAACCCGTTGTTAAGTTGCTCAGTGTCCCTGAATTGGTAGTTTTAAGGAAATTTTGCAGTTTTTGGTTATTATCTTGAATATAATTATAGATAGAGATAGACTGTAAACAGCAAAGTACGATCTACAAATAAGTCAATATTACCAAAATTGTCAATTGACCCCTTAAGGAGTTATTGCCGTTTATGGTCCATTTTTAACAATTTTTCGTAAATTTTTGTAAAAATCTTCTCCACTTAATCAACTGGGCCAAATAGAATTAAACTTAGCCACAATTTTCAATAGGGTATCTTGATTGAAAAATGTATCAGATGACCCTGTCCAAAATGGCCGCCATGGCTAAAAATAGAACATAGGGGTTAACTATAGAAGTCTATGGGAAAATTAAAAAAAAAATAATTTCAAATGGTCACAACTGACTTGAAAACTAATTTAAATAATGATAAGGGTCTTCAGTAACTATTGTAAGACTACAATGGGATGACCTGCTTTAAATTTAACTACTGGGCCAAATTAAGCCAAACTTGGCCTCAATCATTATTAAGGTATCTAATACTATTTATAATGATTTTACAAAAAATGTAACCTTATGTTACATGGTATCCAAAACCACAGTAGATACAGGTGAGCGACACAGGCTCTTGAGAGCCTCTATTTTTTAATACGCGTGATATGTTTGCGTTTAGCCAGTCGTGTGGTAGAGTTCCAGTGTCTACAGATTCATTTTGAAAGATCAATGCCAGCCCTGGTATTATTTGACTTGCGCATTCTTTGAGTATTCTGTTCAGGATTCCATCTGATCCAGAAGCTTTTGATGGGTTCACATCTTTGAGCAGTTTTCCAAGTCCCTTTTCTGTTATAATGATGTTTTATTGTTTCTAGTATTGTTGTGGATTTGTCAAATTGTGAAGAAAGATTTGAATTGTTGTATTCTAATATTTCGGCTTTTCATTTACTGTCGCTAATGAGTTTGCCTTTGTTTTTTAATGGGGACACTCCAATGTTGTCATTTTTCCTGGATATAATATATTTCTAGAACGGTTTGGAATTATTTGTTTCTAAATCATTTAGTATGGTATCGTTGCCGATATATGTCCATTCAGTTTTCCTAGCTCGAATGTCTATTAATTTTCTTTTGGAAGTGTCTATAGTTAGTCCATTTCTTTGTACGCTTTGCATGTTGGTAAAGACTGCTTTTCTTTTTAAACAAGTTCCTTATTTTGTGTGTTATTAAAGGGAGGCTGTTTTTGAGCGGATCAAGTTCTTTGGATGGTATGTGCTTGTCCATGCTTTGGAATAATTCTATTTTCAAATGTGTCACTAATTTCTTGGACGTTTGAGCCTTGATTGTACATCTGTTGTTGTCCTTTATGATGTTTTTGGTGATGTCTTTATTTAGTTTCTCCCAATTTGCCTTTGAGTAGATATAGACTTTTCTTGGTTTAGTGCGTTGCTAGTAAGGCTTGGTGTCGCAGTCTGTAATATTACCATTTCGTTGTCTGATCTGCCTGTTGCATTTTTGAAGATTTTGCTAGAGGTGGATTTGAAGTTAGTACTTTATCAAGAAAGTTGTTCTCTCTTGTTGGTAGTTAGTGGATTTGGGTAAGTTAAAATGATCATGCTGTTAGTTCCATGAGTTTGGTTTGGGTTTCTTTATCAATTGCATTTGAGTTTACTGTTGTTGTTTCCCAGGTATACAGTGTTATATCAAAGTGTACATGAGACAAGTGCTCGTGGATCAAAGCCCTAGGGCGATTCTGAAAAGTACGAATACAGATATTCCGAATTGCATGTCCGGAATTTGACCTTTATTTAGAAATCGAAAATGTCTGCGCCCATTACAGAAAACAAATTTGGAATGAAGACTATTATTACGCTGTGTAGTCTTTAAATCTTTCATTACTACAGTTCAAAGGATGTGTAGTCGAAATTTGCAACATATTTGCAAAAAACTTTTAAACACGCGTATAAATTCAGTGAACAGGGATTTTAAGAAAAGAAGCAAAAGTATAAACTTAGTTCGTATGGGATCGACCTTCACTGGAGGCTTCAGCAGATTGTTTAAAAAGTCACAAGAAAAAGATTTAATATCGCCTAAAATTGGGGAACTAAATCTTAGATATGTATTCGTACGCACCTGTGTAGATTTCTGGATGGATATTCCTGTTGGTGTGATGTTTGACACTGCATATTTTGATACACACCCTGGAATCAACATCAATCCTGATACACCGGTGATAGTAGCACTCCATGACACTCCTGGTTCACTAAATGATATGATTCCTATACTTCAACCATTTTGTAACCTTGGCTATAGAGTTGTTGCACCTAATTTTCCAGGTGAAAATTTTTTACATACTACTTACATGTTTCATGTGTAAATCCTGTGAATCTACCTGTCAAAGACTGTACTATGATTCACGTGTTGATATCAAACAGTTTGTAAATCATTTTACTGTGTGTTTGATTGAAGGCCTAGTGATATGAAGATCGTAATTTTAATGAAAAACAACTTAGAACAATCCAAAAATATACAAGCAAGTATAAATGTAGGCTTGCCATGTTTTACTTGGAGACGACCATGTCTGGTAAATTAGTTCATACCTAGGTATTGCCTCATAAAACAGTTTCTTTAAATAGTTCAACAGGAAAACCTTATTTAAAAAAATCATCCAACTTAAGCATGCTACATTTACATGTAAGGATGAATTCCCAGGTAAAATTTGAGTAAATGTCCATGGTAATTTGATAGTTTTTTGCAGCAAATTTTATCTGTCTGCATTGTGCGTGTAAGTTATAGCAGAAAATGTACAGAAAATCCAGTGATGAAGAAAAATTCTTTTCAAAATGAATGATTCTAATATGACATGCTGCTTTGACAATATTTGAAGCCTTTCGCTTTGTAAATAACAACATGATAAAATTCTCTGATATTGCCTAATGGAAATGGATATTCTGTCCCATTAAATGTGACTTAATTTTGTGTACAAAAGTTAAAATAAATGAATTAACAGGCTTGGTAAATACCAAAAACAATTGAAGCAATATGGTAAGTTAAATATTCCAACCACACAAAAGGCCCCTGTCCCCTTCTCAGAATATGAAAAGGTCATTCCTTTAGGGAATTCAGTGTTAATGAACATGTACATGTACAATGTAATGAAAGGTCTTCTAGTATGATAAAGGCTTGTCTAGAATCAAGGAGATTTTTGTCATGATATTTTGTATGGATTTTTCATTTGGATGCTATTTCATGTAGTACATGTACATGTAAACCTGTTATGTTCTTTTTATCATATGCTAGTATAATAGCAGGTATAGTAATGATAGTTTTGATGCCATGGTTTGTGCATCTTCGCTAGCCAAGGGTTACGATCCACTTCCCTCCTCTCCACCCTTGGCAGATTAAGCCAACATTTGTGATAACATTAATGTTGCGCTATCTATCGGAAGATTAAAGTCACGCCCATTCCTAATACATTATTCTTGACCAACAGTCAGGGGACTTACTTAAATGAGTGATTTTCTAAATCACTGATTCAAGTAACATTATGTCCATAAAGGTTAGAAGTAAGAGTTGTCTTTCTTTAATAATCATCTATTTAAGTAATACAAATTAATCACTAGACTAAGTGATTTAATTTTATTGTAGCTTTAAATATAGAATACTAATGATCCAGGGACTAATTATGTTGCTAAAATTATCAGAACCAACATCTGTGTTGCTAGGATGACCGGGTCATGTCAGGTGATGACCTTGTACTAAATCTAGGATAATGACATAAAAATCACTTGTTTAAGTATCATACCTTAATTTCCTTCCAAAAAATCACTTCTTTAAGTATCATTATTTTAATAACCCCCACTAATTTCAACACCCCCGAACAGTGAAATTTTGATTGCGAACAGTAGAATTTTATTACATAATCTATAAGATGAAACCTTGAATTTTACAGGAAAAATGCTCCCACTGCTGGGAAAAATCTGTTCAGAAAGTATCAGTTCATTATGTAAAGCCATTTTTATAGCATTTTTTCAACTAAAATAGAATTTGCAGCTAAATGATTGCATCAAAGGCATAAACCTTGCTGCTTAAAAGAAGCAAAAAGTTCATTTTTTTCAATTTTACTAATGAAAAGATATTATCTAAACCTATGTGTTTAGAATTTTGGTAAAACTACAAAATCACAATTTGTGACAAAACTTTGAATTTGCTACTTAAATTAGTGATTTAAAAATCAGTTATTTCAATAAGTCCCCTGACTGACCAATGGTAGCACTTGAACTCTTCAATTTGAAGGTAAAAACACGGTAGCGTCTAGATTCTACGCACTTGGTAAAGCAGGAAACGAAAATATACGTTGACATTAATGCATTTGTGCAAGAAACATACACAGGAACTTCTATTAGTTGATTAAAAACATTCAAATTGTCAATAAATATAGTCGTATGTTTAGGGGTGTAAAGACTTATTGCACAATAAGCACGTGGCAATTGTTTACATACACTTTCTACATTTACACGTGATCATGTTATATGCGCTTTTTGATTGGATGCAGTGAGTTTCGACTGCAACCAATGAAAATCATTACCTTGTGTCTCCGAAATTCTATCTCAATCCGCCAAGGGTGGAGAGGAGGGAAGTGGATCGTAACCCTTGGCTATCGAAGATGTGGTTTGTGTAAAACTGATCAGTTTTGCTTATGATAAATTAAGCTCATTAACTTTTATGCAGATCTGTATGACAAGGGAGATATGGGGAATTTTTCTTTCTGGTATATTTGTTAAGTTTGCTAAGTGTACAATTCCACAGAAACAGCATGGAATAATTTGTAGACAAATTTGAGATAGCAGTATTGACAAGAAACTCAGACAAAAAAAGGACACAAAAACGAGCTGATTCTAAGTGAAGATGTCTAATTATTTATTTCAAATAGCACCCATACCAGAGGGGTGAGTAAATATGATGATACAAAGTGAAGATGTCTAATTACATTTTTCAGATAGCACCCATACCAGAGGAATGAGTAAATATGATGATACTAAGTGAAGATGTCTAATTATATTTTTCAGATAGCACCCATACCAGAGAGATAAGTAAATATGATGATACAAAGTGAAGATGTCTAATTATATTTTTCAGATAGCACCCATACAAGAGGAATGAGTAAATATGATGATACTAAGTGAAGATGTCTAATTATATTTTTCAGATAGCACCCATACCAGAGGGATGAGTAAATATGATGATACTAAGTGAAGATGTCTAATTATATTTTTCAGATAGCACCCATACCAGAGGAATGAGTAAATATACTGATACTTTAAGTGAAGATGTCTAATTATTTATTTCAGATAGCACCCATACCAGAGGAATGAGTAAATATGATGATACTAAGTGAAGATGTCTAATTATATTTTTCAGATAGCACCCATACCAGAGGAATGAGTAAATATACTGATACTTTAAGTGAAGATGTCTAATTATTTATTTCAGATAGCACCCATACAAGAGGGATGAGTAAATATGATGATACTAAGTGAAGATGTCTAATTAAATTTTCAGATAGCACCCATACAAGAGGAATGAGTAAATATGATGATACTAAGTGAAGATGTCTAATTATATTTTTCAGATAGCACCCATACCAAAGGAATGAGTAAATATGATGATACTAAGTGAAGATGTCTAATTATTTTTCAGATAGCACCCATACAAGAGGAATGAGTAAATTATACTAAATATGATGATACTTAGTGAAGATGTCTAATTATATTTTTCAGATAGCACCCATACCAGAGGAATGAGTAAATATACTGATACTTTAAGTGAAGATGTCTAATTATTTATTTCAGATAGCACCCATACCAGAGGAATGAGTAAATATGATGATACTAAGTGAAGATGTCTAATTATATTTTTCAGATAGCACCCATACAAGAGGAATGAGTAAATTATACTAAATATGATGATACTTAGTGAAGATGTCTAATTATATTTTTCAGATAGCACCCATACCAGAGGAATGAGTAAATATACTGATACTTTAAGTGAAGATGTCTAATTATTTATTTCAGATAGCACCCATACCAGAGGAATGAGTAAATATGATGATACTAAGTGAAGATGTCTAATTATATTTTTCAGATAGCACCCATACCAGAGGAATGAGTAAATATACTGATACTTTAAGTGAAGATGTCTAATTATTTATTTCAGATAGCACCCATACCAGAGGGATGAGTAAATATGATGATACTAAGTGAAGATGTCTAATTATATTTTTCAGATAGCACCCATACAAGAGGAATGAGTAAATATGATGATACTAAGTGAAGATGTCTGATTATATTTTTCAGATAGCACCCATACAAGAGGGATGAGTAAATATGATGATACTAAGTGAAGATGTCTAATTATATTTTTCAGATAGCACACATACCAGAGAGATAAGTAAATATGATGATACTAAGTGAAGATGTCTAATTATATTTTTCAGATAGCACCCATACAAGAGGGATGAGTAAATATGATGACACTAAGTGAAGATGTCTAATTATATTTTTCAGATAGCACCCATACAAGAGGGATGAGTAAATATGATGATACCACATTTTCTGGTAAAACAGATGAAAGAGTTACATTTCTTCATGATTTCCTCAAAACTATTGGTATAGAAAGGTATATATGTACATTTATATAGGTATTGGTAAATTTCATGTTTTAAACTGAATCCTTCTCTTTAGGGCTGTTCCATAAAAACATACATGGGACCCAGGGAAGACACTTCTAAAACTCAACTATGGGTAGATGTCATCTATGTTTTTGCATAGTTACCCCATTTTTAAAGTGCCTTCCCTGGGTACCATGTATGTTTTACATGATAAAGTAAATGAAAGAAGTACCGTAATGTAAATTCAGAAATTATTGCGTGCATTTATTATTGAGATTTTTGCAGAATGGATATATGTATTACACCTTACTGAATATAAAAAGTTGTTTTTAATTCTAAGCTTTGGTGAATATCATTAGCTAAAGTGAGTATGAGCATTTTCCTCCTTTTCATTGCAGAATTGATATGCTTATTGGACAAGGAAGTGGATGTAATACAGTCATAAGTTATACAGCTAATTTATTAAATAAACATGCAGTCAGATCTATTGCACTGATCAGTCCTATAGGCCACAAGCCTAGCAAGTAAGTGATATACATTGAAATGTCTTAACACTTCAAAACTAATGTGAAAGTATTATATAAATTGTACTAAGCAAGTAAGTTGATAGCCTTGTCAAGTTGGAAGTGAAGTGACTTAGAACCTTATGTTGGCCAAAAACATATGTTACATAGATACATGTATTACAAATAAGAAGGTGAGACATTTAGGTGTGCCTACATTTGTGATCACCCTTTATTGTACAGTATTTGAAAGTGGCAGTCAGTTTAGGAATACCTTAATACAATTATTTAAAACAAATTATTTTTTTATTAATATACGTAAACAAGGGAGACAAGAGGGGGCTTGTACTGTGTGCTGTCTACTTAAATGTATGAAGTGATTAATATTTCAAATTACAGTGGATTCATTATCATGATTATTACTAGTTGGAAATTACTTTTTGTGGATCTCACAGAATGATGCAAAACAAAAAATAATTCATATAAGTTTGTATACAGAAATTGTTGAAACCAGGATATCAAGTTATTCCAATTTGTCCTCAATCCATAATAATGATACCACAAAAATAGATGAATCCACAGTTATGCAGGCGTCCGTCCGGTCTTGTTAGCGCTCTCACATGTACAATTTTTGCTAGATTTTTATGAAACTTATATCATAGGTTTATATCAGTAATGTCTTGGAAGAGTTCGAAAATCAGCCCCGATCAATTATTTTTATTATTTTTTAAAGAGTTATGCCCCTTGGAAACCTTAATTATATGGAAAATTGCATTGTTAGCGCTCTCATTTGTTCAATTCTTGCCAGATTTTAAATAAACATATATCATAGGTTCATATTAGCAATGTCTTGGACGAGTTCGAAAATCAGTGCAGATCAATTATTTTTATACGACCGCAAAAAATTTTGCGGTCATATATTGGTATGTCGTCGTCCGAAGGCATTTGGTTTCCGGACAATAACTTTAGTATAAGTAAATAGAAATCTATGAAATTTAAACACAAGGTTTATAACCACACAAGGAAGGTTGGGATTGATTTTGGGGGTTATGGTCATAACAGTTTAGGAATTAGGGGCCAAAAATGGTGTATGAATCTCTCTGAAATTATACCACAAGTTTCCATACCACAAAGGGATGGTTAGGATTGACTTTGGGGGGTTATGGCTCAAACCGGTTAGGAATTAGGGGCAGAAAAGGGGGAAAACAAGGGTTTCCTGGTTAATGGACAATTTAAAAGCAGTGTAAGGGAGGTAATCCAAACACATTTAAAGTACAATGTTGTGTATGTGTGGGTCTACCTCCCTTACACTTCTTTTAAATTATCTATAAAGAAATGTTGTATTGTCTTGAGATGATAAGCTGTCAATCTATTTTTAGAAGTTATTATTAAAGGAATATTAATTTTAGCCATGATTATTTATGTCATTTTCTATTTTAAGACTTTTATAATGTATTTAAATTGGTAATTATGGTTGCAAACTCTCTTGGAAATTTGAATTGAGATTATGACCATATCTTGAGGGAAAGAATTTTTTTTTTGGAAAAAGGGGTGGGGGGCAATCTTTTCTCATTTCAGATTTAAGAAATTAAAAAAAATTTTTTTTGGGGGGGTCAATATGCAACAGCATAGTGTATTGCACAAAAGCAAAAAAAAAAGGGGATACATTTTTTTTTTTTGGGGGGGGGGGGGGCAATTCGCAACAGCATAATGTATTGCACAAAAGCAAAAATTTTAATATAAATTCAAATCATATTCCCAATTCTAAGTTCTTTGACTACAGTTATTCTGTGCCAGAAACCTATTATGTGTCAAATATTTAATTACAATCCAAATTCAGATCTGTATCAAGCGGGAATATTGTGTCCATTTTTGCCCCAACTGTTCAGGGTTGGACCTCGGCGGTCATATCCAGCTGCGCTCAGCGAAGCATTTTATAAAAAGAGTTATGCCCCTTGGAAACATTGATTATATGTAAAATTGCATAGTTAGCGCTCTCATGTGTACAATTCTTGCCAGAATGTTCTGAAACTTAAATCATAGGTTTATATCAGCAATGTCTTTGACGAGTTCAAAAATCAGTGCCGATCAAAAAAATTTAAAAGAGTTATCATGGTTATGCCCCTTGGAAATATTAATTATATGGAAAATTGCGTTGTTAGCGGTCTCATAAGTTCAATTCTTGCCAGAATTTTATGAAACTTATATCATAGGTTTATATCAGCAATGTCTTTGACACTTTCGAAAATAAGTTATGATCATATTTTTTTAACAAGTTATGCCCCTTGGAAAAATTAATTATAATGGAAATCACATCACGTTTGCTCTGAAGTCTTCATTTCTCTAAGATATTAATAAAAAGTCTTATAGAACAACAAAAAAGTGCTTTTTTTAGTTATTGCCCTTGTACCTTGGATAGATAAAATATGTTCAACGCAGGGGACATTGGAACTCTGTTATAATTAAAGGGAAAATTAATGGGGTCTTTAAAGCAATATACAGTAACACAATGTAATAGGGGATGGGAATACGTAGTTTGTAAGCTTTTTGATTATGAGAAGCAAACTTATTACGATATGGGTAGGCCTAATTGATAAATGGTGACCTATAAGTGCCTACATCCACATCATTTAGTGTCTGGCGGATAATTGATTCATTGGCATGCTTGAAACATCTTATTTTATCAACGCCTCAGTGGTCTCATGGTAGCGTGTTTGTCTCGAGTGCGGGGGGGTCCTGGGTTGAACCCTGGCCGGTTCAAACCAAAGACTTTAAAATTGGTATTTGCTGCTTCTCTGCAAGGCACACAGCATTAAGGTGTAAGAGCAAAGACTTGTCGGCTCAGAGTCAGAATAATGTGTCCAGGTAAGGTGACATGTCTACCTGTGGACTGTTACCTTGTGAACTAGCAAGTTAAAAATCTGGCTCAGCGTGTCGGTCTAGTACAAAGCAGGGCTTATATTCATATTACATTAACATGTTCTCGTCCTGAATATGCATATTTATTTGACGCTGGACATTAAGCAGCCATCCATCCATCCATCCATCTTATTTTATCATGTTTATATTAAATTGTGTTGACAGCTCAAACTATGGAAAGTAATCTATCATGAATCATTCAAATAGTGCAATGCATTTAAATTAGAGATAGAACTTGTGAAGTTGAAATTCGAAATAAGGTTAATTTTCTTGACTTAGCAATCATCTGGTACCCTGAAGATTAATAGCTGTTTTTTTTTTAAAACCAGATTGATTTGGAATTAAGGGGCCTTGGTTACTGAGTGGTCTAAGTAGTCCACCTACTGTATCACTAGCCTGTCAACACTGAGGTTGTGAGTTCAAATCCCGCACCTGGCAGGTGTGCTAGACTCCAATCTTAACTAGGATTGTCAGTTTTCCTACCGAAGGTTGGTGGTTCTCTCCTGGCACTCCGGCTTCCTCCACCAATAAAACTGCCTGCCATGAAATAGCACAATAGTGTTGAAAGTGGCGTTTACATAGACAGATATTTGAATATATATTTTAGAGCTTTAAAAGAGTATCCTGCTGTATTGGAGTTTGATCAATTGTGGAATCGGAGTACTTTATTTAAATATCCACTGAGACTATCACTGGAGATTTCTTCATTTCATAAACTTCCAGTTCTCAGAACATATCGTCAAAAGGACAGATTAAAAGTTATGCTTCACTTTGCTGGATTTCAGTATGAATGGGTAAGTATTACATGTAGATATTAACTATAGCATGTAAAGTTTACATCTTAAGTGTAATATCTGTTCTTCTTAAAATAATACAACTTGCTTATTTTTGTACTAAACTATCATTCATCATTTGATGATCAGTCTTTTTAATGTGTTAAAGCATCTTCATATGTCTCAGACCTTTGAGTTGATTTTTCAGTTCAAACCGAACTGTCAATATGCTCATTTTATGGTCCTTACAAAGAGTGTTACTTTAGAACTACTATTCCGTGTAAAATGGTCACCATGACTTAATGGTTGAAATTTTCAATCATTTTTGAAATGACAACAGTTTAAGCAAGCTAATTCTATTTGCACAAATTATTTCCTGTTATTTGCAGTAGAATTGTTGTTATATTGGTAATGTTGCCAAACAAGTACATGGCTAACAATTTGAACAATTTTGTTAAAATTGAACCCTAAAAAAACCTCCTGCTTTTAAACCATCTAATAATTTGAAACAGCTAGTATACATTTGCATAACAGGATGGTTCAAGGTTCTACAAAAGTTTAATTAGTTTGGTATTTTAAAACCCATGTAGACAGCAGATTACAATTTAATTTTATATTGGAACTTTTGGGAAAGACTGCTGTATGTCAAAAGTTTAGTCAGTCCTAAAGATTAAAGTTTTATTTTGAACACACAGATCAGAAGACTATCAACAGTGTTTAGCTCAATGACTATGGAGAAAATAACCAAATTTTAGGTCTTTGTTCAGGAAATCAAGCTTTAACATAAATTTATTTATTACATTCAGGGTTAGATAACTCTTCTGAACATTGCTGAATAAAATTGTGACTTAAATGTTAAAATTAGAATATTTGTTTTGAATTTGACAAGATTTTCCTTAAGTGACAGCCATGACAGCTGTATAAAAAAATACTGTGTGATATAAAGTCCGGAAATATTATAATGAGGTTTTAGTTTAACTTCAGTAAAATGTTTAAACCTTAAAAAAATCTTCAATCCTAAAGATGTTTAATTCAGACATATTATACAAAGATTGTATTTTCAGCTGAACAGCGATTCCTTTGGTATCGGCAGTTCTAGTATGCCCAGATTGATGACATATAATTTAAATAATAACCTGGTAGATGAGGATCTAATGGAAGAATACACAGAACTCCTAGGTATACCCACAACAAATATCTTTCATTGTGGGACAGGTGAACAAGTTAAATCTGAGAAAAATGGTATGTATGAATATTCAAATCACTAGTTGAAAATTAAATTCTCCCCATAATTTTTGCAAAAAAATATATAATTAGATAATCTACCAACTTCCTAAATTTTGATTAAGCTGTAAAACTGATATTGTTTGCCCTTCTATGACTTTTAATTTTTAATTGTCCCCTTGGTACATGTATCTCCTTATTTATTTTTTACATTTATCAACAATTATAGTTCTTCTGACATGAAAAAATATCATATATAAAGAGTACATGATAGAGAGAAAAACATAAAAGTAGCAAATAGATTCTATATAATCAAAATCTAACAACAATGTCATATTAAACTTTTATGCTATATATAATGCATCACATATTACAAAATATGAGAAATTTTAAAAGAATTATCTGTTTTCAGGATGTTCGCTACTCTGTTTCAAAATAACAAGCTTTTTATACGACCGCAAAAATTTTTGCGGTCGTATATTGGTATGACGTTGGCGTCGTCGTCGTCGTCGTCCGAAGACACATTGGTTTTCGCACTCTAACTTTAGTTTAAGTGAATGGATCTCTATGAAATTTTACCATAAGGTTCAATACCACAAAAGGAAGGTTGGGATAGATTTTGGGGGTTATGGTACCAACAGTTAAGGAATTAGGGGCTAAAAAGGGGCCAAAAATAAGCATTTTTGTAACTTCCAGACATAACTTGTGTGTTAGTGTATGGATCTCTCTGACATTGTACCAAAAGGTTCCATATCACAAAGGGAATGCTGGGATTGATTTTGGGGGTAATTGCCTCAAAATATTAGGAATTAGGGGCAAAAAAAGGGGCAAAAAACAAGCATTTTTCTAGTTTCATGACAATAACTTGTGTGTAAGTGTATGGATCTTTCTGAAATTGTACTACAAGGTTCCATATCACAAAGGGAAAGCTGGAATTGAGTTTGGGGGTAATTGCCCAAAATGTTGAGGAATAAGGGGCCAAAAAGGGGCAAAAATAAGCATTTTTTCTAGTTTCCAGACAATTACTTGTGTTCAAGTGTATGGATCTCTCTGAAATTGTACCACAAGGTTCCATATCACACAGGGAATGCTGGGATTGATTTTGGGGGTAATTGCCTCGAAATTTTAGGAATTAGGGGCCAAAAAAGGGGAAAAAAACAAGCATTTTTCTAGTTTCATGACAATAACTTGTGTGTTAGTGTTTGGATATTTCTGAAATTGTACTACAAGGTTCCATATCACAAAGGGAAAACTGGAATTGAGTTTGGGGGTAATTGATCTAAACGTTTAGGAATTGGGGGCCAAAAAGGGGCCAAAAAACACATTTTTCTAGTTTCCAGACAATAACTTGTGTTCAAGTGTATGGATCTCTCTGAAATTGTACTGCAAGGTACCATACCACAAAGGGACGGCTGGGATTGAGTTTGGGGTGATGAATCATAAGGGGGTTCAAAAAATTGGGGGGGGGGGGGTTTCCTTTTTTTTCTTTTTTTCCTTTTTTTTTCTTTTAAAATTTTCCATTTTAAGTTGGTTATTTCTGATTTATATTTAAAAGCAAATAATAATGATATGGTAGGAGATACACACCAAACAGGATGTGTAAATTATTATATAATAAGTATTGTGCAATAGCAAGAAATTTTCAATTGCACAGTATTGCACAATAGCAAGAAATCTTCAATTGCACAGTATTGCGCAATACCAAGAAATCTTCAATTGCACAGTATTGCGCTATAGCAAGAATCCAATAGCACAATATTGCGCAATAGCAAGAAATTGTCAATTGTGCAGTATTGCGCAATAGCAAGAAATATTCAATTGCACAGTATTGTGCAAAAGAAGATACTTCGTATAAATTGCTTATTTCTTGACCAATTTCAATGGGGTTTTATTCTTGAATTCTTGGGGTTCTTTAATATGCTGAATCTAACCGTGTATTAAGTTTTTGGATTTTGGGCCCCGTTTTTAAATTGGTCCACATTGAGGTCCAAAGGGTCCAAAATTAAACTTTGTTTGATTTCATCAAAAATTGAATTATTGGGGTTCTTTGATATGCCGAATCTAACCGTGTATTTAGATTCTTAATTTTTGGTTCCGTTTTCAAATTGGTCGACATTAAGGTCCAAAGGGTCCAAAATTAAACTAAGTTTGATTTTAACAAAAATTGAATTCTTAGGGTTCTTTGATATGCTAAATCTAAACATGTATTTAGATTTTTGATTATGGGCCTAGTTTTCAAGTTGGTCCAAATTGGGGTCCAAAATTAAACTTTGTTTGATTTCAACAAAAATTGAATATATGGGGTTCTTTGATATGCTGAATCTAACCATGTATTTAGATTTTTGATTTTTGGCCCGTTATCAACTTTGTCCACATTGAGGTCAAAAGGGTCCAAAATTAAACTTTGTTTGATGTCATCAAAAATTGAATTCTTGGGGTTCTTTGATATGCTGAATCTAACCATGTATTTAGATTTTGGATATTGGACCATAATAGGTGAATGTCCAATTTAACATTTTTAAGTTCTTAGACCACATTCATTCTGTGTCAGAAACCTATGCTGTGTCAAATATTTAATCACAATCCAAATTCAGAGCTGTATCAAGCTTGAATGTTGTGTCCATACTTGCCCCAACTGTTCAGGGTTCGACCTCTGCGGTCGTATCAAGCTGCGCCCTGCGGAGCATTTTATTTAAAGACTGTTATAAATTGATAGTATAGGAATAAAGAAACAAAAAAAAAACGGAAAAAAAGGAAAATTGAAAATTTGGTGGGAAACAATTCTCTGTAGATTTTTCATACATTTAACATTGGCACCTTTTTTCTTTCAAAAATGATGAAAAAATAACAAGGATTTTATAAGATTATCAAAGATGACATTTTAATTTATATGTAATCAAATTATGGAAAGAAAAGTAGGGGTTAGTGGGCAAAATTTTAAATGGCACTACATGTATAAAACTAGAGGATTCCGAATATCTGGCAAAAATTCAAAAACAAGAGGAGCAAACATCCTTAAGTTTTAAGATGTGGGAACAGTGTATTTAAATTAAAAGATGTGAAGAATACTTGAATACTTAAGTAGCTATAGGATCAAAAGGGACCGGAAAACAATAGCCAAATAAAAATTTGTATTTGTTTGAAAATTGGTGTGTATTATTAGCTTATCACTCAAGTCTGAAGTCATACATTTTTTACATTGGAATTTTCATCTTTTTTTTAAAAGACTTTACTTTTCTTGAATATGTTTATAATATTAGCTATTACACTTTTAAGCAAAGAACAATCAAAATATCAATACAATGATCGCCAATTGTCAATATGCTTTAGTCAAGACCAGTTTTGAACGATTCAACAAATACTAAAAAAGACCTGCTAGACACTATATTGCTGTATTAGATATTTGTGTGGTAAATTGGGATCAATAATCTGTTGCACATCTTTTATAGAAAATGTATTGTTTATATTTTCAGATAATTCAGCATTAAAGTGTGTTGCCTTTGAAGACAAAGATTATACATTGAACAAATATTCAGGACAATTAACTTTACTATTACAAGATTTATTGAAAAATGTGATTAAAAGGAGATGGTGATTTGTTCTAAACATTACATTGTGTTTTTTAATTATTTTCCTTTTTCAATGTTTCAAAAGAATTGAACCCCTTTGAAAAAACAAAATGAAATCAACACTTTATAAACTTCATGCAGTCGAAGCCCTTTTCTAGATTTACCTTCATCAGGAATACTCAAAATCTGAATATTTGAAGGCCAAGGATGTGTAAGAATTGAAACAGTTGAAGAGCTATAAGACCAAACAGGACCTAAAAATAATAGATAAATCCATCTAAGGTCCAAGTTTGTCTGAGGGAGTTGAAACCTTAGTTTCTTAATAATTTCTAGATTTATAAAGGGACAATTCAAGAAATGTTTGTAATTAATCATGTCAGTACTGAAGTACTGACTACTGAGCTGATGATACCCTAAGGGACGGATAGTCCTTCAGCAGTGGTATGTTTTACTCTTCTAATACACATGATAAAGCTACAAATATATTTATACAGTGTTAGTTTAAAACTCTTGCATTAAGGTCAAGGAACAGTATTCTTATTTTATGTCATTGAAACGGAAATTTATGTATCAACAACATACAGTTTTTAAGAAAAATCTATGTATTTGAAATTGGAGATTTGATGATTTTAAGACAAATTAAAGAACGCTTTTCACCAATTTTATGTGCTTACCATACAAATGTTAACCTATTTTGAAAGAATTCAATCAGTAATATTTCAGAAAGTAAACATGGTAAAAGAGATATAAACTGCATTTTTTTTTCCAATTTTCAGTTATAGTCTAACCAGCCAAATACAAAATTTTATCAAATTCTGTGACATATCTAATTTACTGTAACTTGACAATAAATTGACTTTTGGTGTGTCTGATGAAGGTAAATTTAGAAATGTATTATTTGGTCATGTTGGTTCATTGAATACAGAAAATTTTGTATATTTTATTCTTGAAATAGGAACTCAAAATTTATTTATTTCAATATCACAATAGCATTCTTCAGATAAAATCTTATAAATCTTACTAATAGGAAAACCAGGGTATATATTTTGCAGATCTTCAGAATAAAAATATATCTTCTTTTTATGTCTTGTAGAACAACTCTGTTTAAACTGGTAGCAAAATTATGTGTCATATGAATAACTGCATTGTTCTCAACATGCTTAAGATTCATATAAAATTTAAAAAGGGAAATTATAGAGAGTTGATATAGGTGATATTTAACAAATGACAAATATTTTATATTTCTAAAAGAACCTGAGGCTCTTTTCACAAAAAATCTTACGACAAAAATTTATAGTAAGTTATACTGAAATGTTCATGAATTACAAGTATTTTTTCTTGTAAGATTTTTTGTAAAATGAGTGGCAGAAAATGAAAACCTGTTTCAGTACATTCATATCCACAATCAAAATTGTCTTTGTGGTCTGGTGGTAGTGTGTCTATCATAACTTGATTTCATCCTTAAAATGCATGTAATATTGGCTGCTGGTCATTAAGCAGCCATCAATCAATCATTATGATTTGTTTTCTATTTATGTACAAACTATAAAGTAACCTGGACAAGTGCAGGTGTGAAACACACTTCAATGGATATTTATGAATACAGCTGAATTTTTTTCTAACTTTAGAGTTCAAATGAATTTACTAGTATATAAAATATTCTTTTGATTCAAACAACCATCGCTAGTGTTTATCAAAGACCATTTCTGAATGATACCATGGAAATTGAATTTTCCTGCCAGTCAATAACATCTGTAAAACTGGTTTGATGCAAAGAGAGACAACACTAATAACATTAGGTTTTGGAAATCACTCAAATTTAAAAAACTGACAGTAATTATAAATAACACACAATACAAAAGACCTGGATGGATGTAGATTGCAGACTAAACAATGGTTAAAAAAACAACTGGATACATCTTCACAACTCGGTACCTTGTATAAATATTTGTGATGTGAAGGATTCTGGAAAATTCTATGGTTTTGTGAATTTAATTTTCAAAAGTGCATACAAAATGCATTTGTAAATGAACACAAAAAAGGTTTATGCTTGAAGAAGTTTATATACTAATGTGAGAACAACTTATACAATCTAAACTATATCCCTTCCATTTTGAGCCACACATTTTCTGAAAATTCTGCAAATTTGATCTTTAATAATATAGATTTGTAAAACATGTCACGTTATAATGCTCTAAAAGAGTTTCAATGGATCTACACTATAAATGGTGGAAATCTTTGTAATAAATACATAAAAGGGTGTGTGGTTTGATTGCCAATGATTGGTGAATTGAACCAGTGACCAAAGGGTAAGGAGGTAAACAACTATAGGTCACTATATGACATCTAACAATGAACAAATTCCATACACTATAGGTCACTATATGACATCTAACCATGAACAAATCCCATACACTATAGGTCACTATATGACATCTAACAATGAACAAATCCCATACACTATAGGTCACTATATGACATCTAACCATGAACAAATCCCATACACTATAGGTCACTATATGACATCTAACCATGAACAAATCCCATACACTATAGGTCACTATATGACATCTAACCATGAACAAATCCCATACACTTTAGGTCACTATATGACATCTAACAATGAACAAATTCCATACACTATAGGTCACTATATGACATCTAACCATGAACAAATCCCATACACTATAGGTCACTATATGACATCTAACAATGAACAAATCCCATACACTATAGGTCACAATATGTCATCTTACTTACATCTAACCATGAACAAATCCCATACACTATAGGTCACTATATGGCATCTAACCATGAACAAATCCCATACACTATAGGTCACTATATGACATCTAACAATGAACAAATCCCATACACTATAGGTCACTATATGACATCTAACCATGAACAAATCCCATACACTAGAGGTCACTATATGACATCTAACAATGAACAAATCCCATACACTATAGGTCACTATATGACATCTAACAATGAACAAATTCCATACACTATAGGTCACTATATGACATCTAACAATGAACAAATCCCATACACTATAGGTCACTATATGACATCTAACAATGAACAAATCCCATACACTATAGGTCACAATATGACATCTAACAATTAACAAATCCCATACACTATAGGTCACAATATGACATCTAACCATGAACAAATCCCATACACTATAGGTCACAATATGACATCTTATAACGATCAAATCCCATACACTAAAGGTCACTATATGACATCTAACCATGAACAAATCCCATACACTATAGGTCACAATATGACATCTTATAGCGAACAAATTCCATCCACTATAGGTCACTATATGACATCTAACCATGAACAAATCCCAAACACTATAGGTCACTATATGACATCTAACAATGAACAAATCCCATATACTATAGGTCACTATATGACATCTAACAATGAACAAATCCCATACACTATAGGTCACTATATGACATCTAACAATGAACAAATCCCATACACTATAGGTCACTATATGACATCTAACAATGAACAAATCCCATACACTATAGGTCACTATATGACATCTAACCATGAACAAATCCCATACACTATAGGTCATTATATGACATCTAACCATGAACAAATCCCATACACTATAGGTCACTATATGACATCTAACAATGAACAAATTCCATACACTATAGGTCACTTTATGACATCTAACAATGAACAAATCCCATACACTAAAGGTCACTATATGACATCTAACAATGCACAAATTCCATACACTAGGTCACTATATGACATCTAACAATGAACAAATCCCATACACTATAGGTCACTATATGACATCTAACAATGAACAAATCCCATACACTAAAGGTCACAATATGACATCTAATAACGAAAAAATCCCATACATTAAAGGTCACTATATGACATCTAACCATGAACAAATCCCATACACTATAGGTCACTATATGACATCTAACAATGAACAAATCCCATACACTATAGGTCACAATATGTCATCTTACTGACATCTAACCATGAACAAATCCCATACACTATAGGTCACTATATGGCATCTAACCATGAACAAATCCCATACACTATAGGTCACTATATGACATCTAACAATGAACAAATCCCATACACTATAGGTCACAATATGACATCTAATAACGAACAAATCCCATACACTAAAGGTCACTATATGACATCTAACAATGAACAAATTCCATACACTATAGGTCACTATATGACATCTAACATTGAACAAATCCCATACACTAGAGGTCACTATATGACATCTAATAACGAACAAATCCCATACACTAAAGGTCACTATATGACATCTAACAATGAACAAATTCCATACACTATAGGTCACTATATGACATTTAACCATGAACAAATCCCATACACTATAGGTCACTATATGACATCTAACAATGAACAAATCCCATACACTATAGGTCACTATATGACATCTAACAATGAACAAATCCCATACACTACAGGTCACTATATGACATTTAACAATGAACAAATCCCATACACTATAGGTCACTATATGACATCTAACAATGAACAAATCCCATACACTAGAGGTCACTATATGACATCTAACAATGAACAAATCCCATACACTATAGGTCACTATATGACATCTAACAATGAACAAATCCCATACACTATAGGTCACTATATGACATCTAACAATGAACAAATCCCTTACACTATAGGTCACTATATGACATTTAACAATGAACAAATCCCATACACTATAGGTCACTATATGACATCTAACAATGAAAAAATCCCATACACTATAGTAAGTTATAAAAGGCGCAAGCATAACCAAATGTTAAACACTTCAAAATGGAAAACTAATGGCCTGGTTTATGCTGAAAGCAACTAGAGGCTCTAAAAAGCATGTGTTGTTCACCTTGGACTATATGCATATTGAACAATGGATACTCTCCAACATTGTAGACTAGAACAGAATTCATGACAAAAATCTCTGTTTTGTTGATCTTGTGCAGTTGACA